ATCATCCCCTATGTGACATTCGGATTACTCAACCACTGCCAGTTATTAGCATATTAGCTCTTACACTAGTATAGACAGGTGGAGATGTGAGGCAGTGAGGGAAAGTATACATGTCTAGGGGTGGGCCATGTGTAGGCACTATCACTTTTCTCTGAATAAAGTCACAATGGGCCAGGAGAACTAAAGGTGCCCATACACCTTACGATTATTGTACGATAATCGTATGCGATCGACTTTTCGTACGACAATCGTAACGTGTGAATAGAGTGCACGACCGATAGTACTGTACAATCGTACGACTTTTGACGGTCAAGCATGTTTGAAAACTTTGGTCGATCTTCCGATGTTCGCATGGTTGGTGGCATTTCCGTCTGTCAAAAGCCGTACGATTAACACTGCGCATGCGCAAACGAAAATAATTGCGGTCAATTACCGCAAGTCATCCAGGTGTTTTTTTTTAAACTACCGCTGATTGAACCTTTTGATAATCGGGGCAGGATGGGGCCGTCGTACGAAAATCGTACAACGGTTCAATCATCGGACGAAAAGTTTTGTCCGATAATCGTAAGGTGTATGGGCACCTTAAGACTGGCAGTGGTTGAGTAATCCGAATTGTCATATGTGACAACTTATTTTGGCACATTGCATATCAAAGGGGATGTGTAAAAATGATTTGGAATTCAGGAGGCATCCTGTCCAATCCAGGAGTCAGCAGGATTTTTTTAGGAGCCAGAAACATTGGCGACGACTAAAGAAAGCCTCAAAGGTAAGGCTCCTATCATTTTTAGGGATCATTGACTACCTGGGATTTGTCCAGCACTGATGTCAAATTAAACTATTATGTAGCAGCTCATTTGGTGTATTTTGTGCATATTAGAATGTGTAACATCTTGTGTCATCATCCTCTTGGTGCACTACTGGACAACTTTATTGCACCAAATATTGACATACGCATTTTCTGAACTATTATTTGCTGCAGATTGTGAGACCTTTCCACTAGTCACCTCTTTCATCAAATCTTTCATATTGAACTATTTTTTAATTATTTGGTTTTACGTAGAAGAATAAAGAAGGAAAAACTTCCTTCTTCTTCTTGTACTTGCATTAGTGTTTTTTGGGAATATAATCAAGTGTATAGGGGGAGAGAATGTGCACAGTTCAGTCTATACATTGTCATATGCCGTGACAGTGTACTTTCATCTGAATCAACCATATAACACTGCACACATAAGTAAGACCTAGCGGATCTCTGTAATATAAGACCTACCACTGAACTAGGTCTTATTTTTCTGTAAATAAGAACTAGGTCTTATTTACAGAAATCCCCGAAGATAGCGCTAGGTCTTACTTTCGGGGTAGGTCTTACTTTCGGGGAAACACGGTAGTACCTTATTGGCCACATTTGACCTAATTTATGAAGGTGCCCTAATATTTATTTTGTAGCCATGTCACACCAGCAACTCCATTTCGTTTGGATAGTGTAGTCAGCATCCTTTCTGAGCCAGTACTACAAAAACATTGATTGCAATATATCGCATAGAAAGCATAATATTTTTCATTAGGCGTGTGAATGATTCGTGCTGAGATAGGAGAACCAGCAAAGTCACAGCACCACTATGCAGGAATCCGAGCTTGTGTATTGAATGGGCAAACATACCTGGTGCCATCTACATACATATTTGTTACCAATACCAACAAACAGTCCCAAGGGCAGCCACCACACACAAGTCAAAGCAACAGCATATTATTGTCAGTGTTTTAAAAAGAGTTCAGTCCAACAAAACTACAGAGTCTTGATAAAGACGCACTGAGCTCCATTAAAATGTTGACAATAAACTGCTGTTGGTTGGACTTATCTCCACTGCAAGACCCTTGCATTCCTCAATACCTATTTTGGTTTTGTATTTGATCAAAATAAATGGAAGGTTTAAATAAAGTTAACACAATGATCAGATTATTGACATGGACCTGTTCAGTTACCTATAGATGTAAAATTAGAGATGACAGCTACTGGCTCTGTTGCCCCGCATCCACTTTGTAGAGTCAGACTGCCAGGCTCCCAACTATTAAGAAGGAGCAGTCTGATTGGTGGCTGGGGGCAACATACCCCATTTGAACTTTTCTTAAAATAAAAGTCCTGCCTATGAGCAGGCACCACAGGTTGTTTTTTAATAATTTTATATGCACGAAAACCATGTTCTGTGTGCCTCTGATCCTAAGGCCTCGTTCACACCAGATGCACCAGATTCTGGCCAGAACGCACTCCCTCGCATTGCAGCCGGCTAACTTTTTTGTTAATCTGATTGGGTTACACAATGTTGTGGTAAGTGGGTATTCTAGCTTTAAGTGTAAAAATAACGGGAGGAGAGCTTTCTTTTCGTTTGAATGGACTTTTGCCCTTAAAGCCTAATAGGTTAAATAGGTTAATATTAGGCTAATGTCAGGGTAAATCCACTAAACACATTTTCAAAGTCTTTTTCTTTTGAAAACAGTCTGAAAAAGTATGTTTCCTGGCCTGCATGAGTGGTGACTCTTGCTCTCTGTGTCGAAGCAATGATCTCTCTGCAGAGGTCCAGCATGCCTCCTGTTGAATCAAAGCTAAAGCTCTTCTATCAGTAGGGAGCATGGAATTTGCTACAGTATAGATCTGACTCAGCAGGGGGCATGCCAAACCTCTGCAGAGAGACCACTGCCTCCACACAGAGAGGAAGGGCCCTTCTCTTTATGGCATGCTGGCAGGGGACAGGCTTTTCTACTCGGGCTGTGGCTGCCTTCTAAAGAAAATGAACTGTATGACTGTGTTCAAACCTTTTTGTTTTGATGCCCCAGGAATTTTATTTAGCTGAGTTAAACTGAAAGTTGAGATGGGCTTTAAGATTTTCAAACTTTTAAATTAGGCTGTTTGTCAACGTAAGTGCTTTTTTATCAGAGTTTTAGTTTTACTACATTTTGTTTATGGAGTCTTTAGGTTTATCATTCTGTTCCATGTGGTTTAAATGAAGCAAATATACATAAGGCTTCATTAATATTTGTGAGTGTGAAAGCTAATTTGTCTCACTATACACTAAACTATACATTCAAATTGCCAAGACAAATATTCACATGGTAACTGCATACATAGCATGTGATTTATACATGAATAAATGGTTAAGCATGTTTTTTTTTCATTGCTTGGACATGATATTCCTGAGCTCTAAGTAGTTCATTTATGATGGAAGAACATACTCATTGACTACAACAAGGACATATTTATAGAAGAGAACCCTCCCTTCCAGCACCAGCACAGAGTCAGGATTCATCTCTCCATTGGGTTTGCTTCCAATAAATGAATGGGTTAGCCACCAGCTTGCTTGCTAGACTTCCCTCCCTTCCTGTTCCCTGAGCGTCAGGTTTTATTGAAATCCCACCCTTCCTTCCTGCAGGCACTTGAAAGAGAGGAGAGCGCCCATGTACTTATAGATCTATTTACTTGCGTGCATGTTGACCTTTTTCCGACTGTATAGCATCATCTGTATAGGTAGAGCACACAGAGCTTGCTCTGCGTCTGTTTCATTATGTATGACATTCTTTATTTATGAATGAAATCATTTTCCGGAATTATGCCTGCTACTGTTTCTGGCAGTATGCTGTATGTCACACCTAGATAGTCGGCAATGTGCCTTATTAATGTCATATATTATTATAATACTGACTGTCTTTACTAAATGGGAAGATATTTTAAATCTAAATAGAGCTATGGGGTATTGCTTGGTTCTTAAAGTGGAACTCTGCAAAGCACTGTTTATAGCTCATTGTTTAACATAATGCCAGTGTTATTTAAATGAGTTGTAAAGTCCCAGCATATCCTATCCTGTTATAGCATCACCATTGTAATAGGAATACATACTAGAGTTGTTTTTGATAATACAATCAAAGCTTACTTGAAAAAATCCCTTCTATGTAGCGAGTGCTGCCTTCTGTCTGCTCATCACTTTCTACAACTTCCTGGATTCCCAATATGCTTTGCATCTCTTTACCTGCTGATTGATTTGATGCAATCTCCATTTCTCAAGACAACATATCCCATCATGCATTGCTTCTGCCAAGCAATGATGATGGTAGATTGTGGGAAGTTCAGACATTGCATTGTAGTTCAGGCAGCAGGCTTCGTTAGAGTGGTGATACAAAGAAGTGCATATTCACAGGGCTGAGTGAGATTGTGTCAGTGCATTGAGGAAATACATCCTATGGGCATCTTCAATAAGTTTACAAACTTCTAGATTTGTATAGTTATTAGGAATGGAATAAAACTTATGTACTTCTATAATAAATGTCCATATTTATTTTTGGGTTTTGACCTTAGATACCTTTTAAATAAAATGTATAGAGGCTTTCTACACATTTTTCTTTCTTTATGTATCATGGCCAGGGCAGGTATAGAATGCAAATTATACTGCGTATCTGCTTCAACTGATCAGATAATTGAACTCCAGGCACCACTTATCTTACATTACTATGTGCAAGCTTGTTTAATATCTATGCTTGCTGCAGTAAAAAGAAAAAATTCTACAAGCTCAAAACAAAAACATTTCTTGTAAACATATTACTGCCATAATTTCCAGCCCTGCTAGCTGGTTCTGCAGCTGCTTTTGTTCCGATGTTGTTGTTGGCCTGCTTGTAGTCCTGAAGGTAGGAGCTTGTGTGCAATGCTGGTGATATCATAAAATGCTGGTCGTGTTGGGAAAATTGTGCATTGCAAGGCATGCCTGTCTCATTCCTGGATGTTTTAGAAGAAATTAAAGCACTTCATCTGTTGAAGGTCCACCAGTGAACCTATTCTACTCTCTGCATCTGAGATGTCAGGCACAGTGTATGGCGCCATAGTGGTTTAGTTTTGATAGATCTCCTAATAAGTCAGTGACCTTGCTTTTCTGTTGACATTCACTCCAATTTGAGATTGTTTGTTCACCTTTAGGAAGTATAGTTGTATTAATATTCATATTTTTTTGTTCTCTTGCCAGGTAATTAGCTCAATGAGCTCTTTGTCAGACTATTGCTTACCCTCCATACTGCGCACTTTGTTTGACTGGTACAAACGTCAGAATGGCATTGAAGATGAGTCGCATGAATATAGGCCAAGGACAAACACCAAATCTAAAGGGTAAGGCTGCTATCTATCTAAATGGTGTGTGTGTGTGTGTGTGTGTGCAGCTAATGAGTGAAAGGTATTACACCATTCAGAACTAATTAAGAATTTGTAACCAAGGGCAAACGTGCTTCCTGCAGTATGATTACAGATGAGCAATTGCCAATTAAAAGAGGCAACACATTGCCACAACCAATTATGGTTTTATATTATATATTTTAGAAAAAAAAATGCAGATATTTTGCTTATATTGCTACATTATGACTTGGTCACATTAGCACACATATTGGGTTACCCTGCTGAGTTTTAATATTGGAATTTTCCAGAATCATTCATAGTGGGTAAAACAATTATTTGAAGCATTTTGGTTAAAAGGAAACTGTCAGGATATAAATAGGGGACTGTCACTATGGTGTTTGAAGAAGTGACCTGTGGAGTCAAAGCAAGTGGCACCTTCCATATTTTTCTCTTGACCGGGTTAATGTAATCCACAAACACTGACTTTTTCCAAAGTTTTCAGAGACAAGAAAATAGGATCAGAAATTCCTTGATTTGCCATAACATTAAGACCCAATTGCTTGCTGTTGACCTTAACTTCATGTTGGCTTCGGTTTTCTTTGCTTTGATTTTGATAAACCAAAGCCATAATAGTAGCAGCAACAGGAACGCTGCACATTGAGATGCAAACTGATATTTTTTAGCTCTTATTCTGATGTGTTTCACGCTACACACAGCGTTTTCTCAAAGAGATCAAACCAAAGCCACAGTTACAACAATTATTACAACACTTCATGATCTTGCTGAATTCATCACATTTTTAAATATAGTTATTAATGAGGAAAAAAATTACATCTGAAGAGTTATCCAATGGTCTTTTTGCACTATCCATGAGAATGGTTGGCGTGATTCTCAACTGAGATTCGGACCTATGATGTCTATTTTAGGCCGTTACTCCTATATAATATTTTTGGCTTATTTAGCCAGTTCAGCAATTAAGTAGGACATCAATATGAAGCTAAATAAATAGTATCTTAAAATAAATAGCGAGATGATGGCTTTGCCGTGAGGGATAAGGGAAGGCTGTTTTTGAAAGGAAGCATGGAGAAGTTGAGAGGACAACCAGTTCTGTGAAAAGCTGTAAACAGGGCCATCTTATACACACATATTTACCAGAATGTCATATCTTGCAACAGGCTGACATGCACATAACGGGACAGGTAACTTTTTAAAGTTAATTTAGTCATTACCTCTGATTTGTTTCATTGACTATTGAGTGCTTTTTATTTATAACACTGTTGTAGAGAGGACGGCTATAATTCTGTCCATGTAAAGTGTTATGCCTGCAACTTCCAGGGAAGACCTTGCCTAATTCCTATACAGCTGGACTGTCTCTTTTGTGTTTACTGGAGTTACAAGGGTATTCCAGTTCTAACACAAGTGTTCTAATTCTCCTGAGTGGAATTCCTTGTATTAATTTATCATGCTGTGAGAGAAGTGACTTGTGTATTTGCCAAGACTGTCTCATCTACTTCTGGTCTCCAGTGGCCAAGTAGGGTAAGATATGTTGCCTCTGGAAAGGGATACATTAGCAGAACACCTGGAGAGCACAGTGTAGCTCTCAGTGTGAAAACCCATCACATCACTGAGGTATAGAGCTGTGTTTACCTTAGACAAATGTAAATGATGATGGCATTTTGTGTAGAGAATTTCATATAACTTTAGCTTCCTATGTCTATGGATCTTCTGGCTTGACTTTTCTGACAGGTTTTACGGAAGGTAACCTTTGCTGATGCATTTTTTTTTTTTTTTACACATGTCCTTTTTGAATAAAATGTTTGCCTAAATAGGATCTTTAGCGCACACATTTTATAGCTTTTTTCAGCTTTCTGAACATTCTGATTGAACTTTCCAGCAACACTATGGAGCCTGATTATGGATCCAGCCTTAAATCTATTGAGCAAAAAAATATTTCCTCCTTATCAACAAGTGAAAATTGTCTGTCATCCCAACAAGTGAAGATCTATGTCCTTCAAGGTGTGGTTTGACCTACATTGGATCTATTGTAGGCAGACGTGAAATAAGTAATCTCATTGCTTGCCCTTCACTCTCTTACAGACATATGCACATACAGTACATGTGTGCAATCATTGTACAAAACTATGCTCACACTAAAAATAATCCTTATCACTCAACTAACATATTAATAGTGTTGACACAAAGTACTTTCTTTCGTTATAAACTGTTGAATGTTTGAAGCTTTTGTTGCAGTTTTACTTCCTGCTGTTCCTACAGATAGATTATAATAGATTCATTTTGTTCCTTATTATTTAGAAATCAATTAGTGACTTTTATTTGCTTTTTCTTTCCATACAGTGACGAACAGCAGAAAGATTACTTGATGGAAAGAAGGGATCTGGCAATTGATTTTATTTTGTCATTAGTTCTTATTGAAGTTTTAAAACAGGTAAGATGACACTGCCACTGACTACATGTTCCAATTTTTCATTAAGTGGCTCAGCAGAATTTCTTCCTATGGTTTCAGGAAGCGGATGATGCACAGTTTATTAAATTAAGTGACATTGTATACATTAAGTGGCCAGCAGATGCCCTTTTAATATTAACTTAGCTATTGAATATCTGCGGATGCCTACTGTATTGTTTTGACTCCCACATACTGTCCTAGAAATCTGCATCGTTCTGCACTGTTGCATAACATTTTTTGGCTTCATTATAAGAAATAGATTAAAGAAAAGTGCACGTCTTATACCTGGCAACCAGAGTTCAACTCCCTTTTTCCTAAACTAGAAAATGTATGCTCTCAGCTCCCTTTTCTTAGTCTAAACTAGGAATCCCATGCTACCAGCTTCTGTTTCTTAGGACTGGTTCACACCTTGGCGTTTTACAGCGCTGCTCGACACGCTGTAAAACGCCAAGCAAGTGAAATCCCATTATTTCCTATGGGCATGGTTCCCACCTGGGCGTATTTCAGCTCGTAGGAACGCGCTGAAAAACGCCCTACGCCCAAAGAAGTACAGAAGCTTCTTTGGGGGGCCTATTTCCGCGCGTATCCATTAGGATACAGCCGGATAGCCCTCGTAAACACGCGTTTGTCGCGCATTTCGTTGACTGCAAATCGCGGTAAAAACGTGCGGCCCGAAACACGCGTCAAATGCTCATATTACGAACGCCCAAGTGTGAACCCAGCCTTAGTCTAAATTAGAAAGTCCATGCTAATGGCTCTCTTAGCTTTTAATAAGCATACGACCATCGCAAGACAAAAGTCTTGCGATGGTCGTAAGGTGTATGGGCACCTTTTAGTCTACACTAGAAAACCATGCTACCTGCAGACATGTTCCCCCAATTTATAGTATATAAAGCAGGGGTCTCAAACCTCCGGCCCTCCAGCTGTGGTGAAACTACAAATCCCATGATGCATCTCTCTTCGGGAGTCATGTCTGCGGCTGTTATAATCTTGCAATGCCTCATGGGATTTGTAGTTCAACCACAGCTGGAGGGCCGGAGGTTTGAGACCCCTGATATAAAGCCTCATCAGCAAATAGAAAACAAAAGTTAACAGCACATACGTACTATTCTTTCAATCTCCTGCTGCTCTGTTCAGTGCTTTAAGCCAAAGGATATACCCGTTGCTTGTGAATATGAAGACGCATGTGACTTGCTCGGTGTGGCAGCACTGAACCTGTCATCGCTGTCACATGAGTCAATAACCCAAAGTGGCAGCAGAGTAAAAGGAAGGAAAGTATGTGCTGCTGACAGCTGAGATGAATTAGGGCAGATTTGGACGCTAAGCAAAGTAGCAGCTCTGCCTCCCCGTCTCTATATTTTTAAATGTCATCGATAAGGATTTCAATAAGCACAGAGAAGCCATTTGCATTGACACCAACTCTCTTCAAATGCATCCTACCTTTTGACATGCAGGTGCACAGATTTTTTCATCTGTGCTAACAATGTGCTTACTGCAGGAGTATAAAGGATGTAGCTGAACCCCAGGAACATTCATTGGGGCCTAGGTCCCTGTCCAGGCTGCCTTGTGGATGATCCCGTTCTGCATGAGAAGGGAGAATTAAGGTGAACCTGTTATTTTGCCTTTTATGCAAAAAGCACGGGTTCACTTTAAAGACCATTTAAGCTTTCATATTAAATCAGCTACATACACTTTTTGTTTCTTTAGAAAGCAGCTACAGCCTCAGAAAATTGCTTTCACACAGAGAGTAAGGGTCCTTCTCTGTAGCGTGCTGGCATGGATTGTGGGTTCTGGTTGTGGCTGCTTTCTTAAGAAAACAAACTGTGATGTGGGATTGCATGGCAATCCCACGGTGGAATTTGGGATTATGATCACCCAGCCAGAGGGGCTGAGGGGTTTCAGGAGGCAGGTTTTTTTTACAGGGAAAGAGCACTGGCTTTTCAGTTCTTTCCAGATTTTCTGGATTCTGCTTAGGATCCTGGAATCGAGAGATTTCAGAGTGAATTGGGAGGGATGAGATCTCTATTCCTGGATCCATGTTTTAGTAGTGACCAGCACTTGTTGATTGCACACCTGCACAGTCCTTATGGTATGGGTGCTTGCTAGGGGTCAGGGTTTCAGATAGGAGACAGGAAAGGTCGCTGTCCAGGAGCCAGGAGGAGGAAATTGTTATAGAAATTGTTTATAGATCTTAACTGCCTATTTTATGACAAGGTTTTCATAATGTTAACTCCAATTCTATTCTTTGTATTTCTAGATTCCATTACATCCAGTAATTGACAGCTTGGTTCATGATGTAATTACCTTGGCATTTAAGCACTTTAAATACAAGGAAGGGTAATGTGTTTCAAAATGACTACAGAATTCTTATTTTTCTTCTTGATATACCATTGTAGTGCTCATTGTTTTTATTTTTTCTTCTCTCTAGTTATCTAGGTCCAAACACTGGTAATATGCATATAGTGGCTGATCTATACGCAGAAGTAATAGGAGTATTGGCGCAGTCAAAGTAAGTGTGTCTTCCGAAAGCCGTACTCCAGGCAGATGTGAAAAAAACACCAGCGATCTATTCATTAAGCAATACTTAATATAATTATGCTGAACTCAAGACAGATTTAAAATACACACATGAATTCAGCTATGTATTCACTCCCTTTGCACTAACTTTTTATGCACATTTCATCTGGGTATTTAGCTGTTTTGCCTGGATTTCAGTTTTAAGAACTAGAACCTTGATCTTGATAACAGCCTCCTATTGTCTTCTGCACAGCAGCACTCAGACTGTGAGAAGGGGTTGGGGGGGGGGCTGGGCTAAATAAAGCTGTTTTGTTTTACATGGTACTGTCTGTCAAAAATGGGTACTGGTATGCTAAAGCTAGCTGTACATAGCTTGAACCATACGGCTAGCCATGTGTGACTCGTTTGCTTCTGAATCTGCCATAATTTGAACCCTGGGTGGCCCTATCAGCACATCTCTGCTCGACAAAATTTGATTTATAAATCAGCTGAGCTGGCTGGAAAATTATCGGCCAAGCAGCAACCGCATCCTACGGCTGCCTGAATACAATAGCTGAATGAGAGAAAATCGACCCATCTATGCCCAGCTATAGCTATGTTATTTTTTTAATATAGGTGTAGTTTAAAAAAGATAATTGAGCTCAAATTACAAGATGGTCTATATAAAGTAGCCTTGGATAGCATTCTCAGTTAGAATTGTGAATGTCCCTCCAGGGGACCATGAGAACTTCATATATCTATGAAATAATATTTTGGTCGCAGTCAAACTTTCTTTTCCCATACACAGCTGACTTCCTGCGAGTAATCTTAGTCATGGAACAGAACATGGCAATAAATTATAGGCAACAATAGATTTTTTTTTTTTGTTGAAAGAACGCAGGGCAACCAGATTTAGCTGTCATATGATTCAATTCCAAAATTGAATATCATATATCACATTGCTAAGCCCAGCTACCTAAACTGCCAGTGCCTAAAAAGTATATTAGATTGGCAACTAAATTACTAGAGCTAAATTTGTTCACAGTGCATATTCCCCATGCCATCATTCTGATATCTGTAGTGCAAAAGACAGTGGGAACATCTCATAAAGAAAGATTTTGGAAGACATTAGAAAGACAGAGAGAAATTTTCATATTTATATTTTAAATATAAAATAATAAAAAAATAATAATAAAAACTATA